CAAATGTCCAGCCTCGCGCATATTTGCCCCGAGGACTAGTTTTTGACTGTGGATCTGAAAGATGCATACTTTCACATCCACATAGCCCCCATCACAGACCTTTCTTGAGATTCACGTTCGAGGGAGTGGCCTATCAGTATACAGTCCTTCCGTTTGGACTGTCTCTGGCCCCGCGCACTTTCACGAAGTGCGTAGACGCGGCTCTTTCCCCTCTGAGACAGATGGGAATCCGTGTTTTGAACTACCTCGACGATTGGCTGGTTCTAGCCAGGTCAGAACGGGAGTTGGCTGCTCACAGAGAGCTGTTACTCAGCCACTTGGAGCGCCTTGGGTTGATCATAAACCCGCACAAGAGTCAGTTGTTACCCAGACAGCGAGCGGTCTTTTTGGGAATGATTTTAGACTCCGCCCAAATGCAGGCATGGATTACACCGGAACGATCCCTGACTATTCAGCAAATGGCGGCGTCTCTCAAACCGGGCCCCTAAAGGTTTTTCAGAGGTTGCTTGGCCTTATGGCAGCCACCACCTCGGTGATTCCTCTGGGCCTGCTTCACATGCGGCCCCTTCAGTTCAAGCTCAAAGCCTGCGTTCCACCCCACGCCTGGCGCCTGGGGCAGTTTCCTGTCAGGGTAGACCACTGCTGTATCAAGGCTGTGGCCCCCTGGACGACCTCTCGCCTATTCCAAACAGGAATGAGGTTAGGCCTGACCTCCAGAAGGAAGGTAGTCACGACGGATGCGTCCAACTCGGGTTAGGGCGCCCTGTTGGAGGGCAATCCAGTATTCGGCTCCTGGTCAGCCCCGGAGCAACGCCTGCATATCAACTGCCTAGAGATGCTGGCAGTTTTTTTAGCCCTAAAAACCTTCCTTCCAGCCTTGAAAGGGCACTACGTCTTGGTTCGGTTGGACAGCATGACGGTGGTGGCTTATATCATTCACCAAGGCGGTCTGAGGTCACACACTCTTTGCTGGATGGCTCTTTGCCTCGTCTTTTGGGCACAGAAAGAACTCCTCTCGCTAAGGGCGGTTCATGTGTCGGGCAGATTGAACCTTGGTGCAGACATGCTGTCCAGAGGCAAGGTAGCCCCGGGTGAATGGGTGCTTCACCCTCAAACGGTTCAAGAAATCTGGTCAGTCTTCGGGAGGGCAGAGGTCATCCTCTTTGCCTCAGAAGACAACTCTCACTGCCCAACATACTTCTCGATACAGTGAGATGCTCTGGCCCACGATTGGCCCAGTGCTCGCCTATACGCATTTCCCCCGATCACCCTGATTCCTCAGGTCGTTAGGCGGGTCAGGGAGACCAAGTGCTCTCTCCTACTAGTGGCCCCGCTCTGGAGGAACCAGGCCTGGTTCCCGGAGCTAGTGCAGCTCTCAGCAGCAGCCCCGTGGCCCATTCCGCTGAGGAAGAACCTTCTCTCACAGGCGAAAGGCATGATTTGGCACCCCCGGCCAGAGCTGTGGAGCCTTCATGTATGGTGCCTCGACGGGAGCTTAATCAGCTCCCAGCAAGTGTAAGCAATACCATTTTGGAGGCGAGAGCGCCGTCTACAAGACGGCTTTACAGCCAAAAATGGTCGGTCTTCCTTAACTGGTGTTCTGCACGGAGTTTGGACCCGATATCATGTGACGTGTCCCACGTGCTAACCTTTTTGCAAGAGCTGCTGGATAATGGGCGCACCCCATCCACGCTCAAAGTATATGTGGCAGCTATCGCAGCGAACCATTCTCTCGAAGCTGGCCACATTCAATCGGCAGGAACCATCTGATCGTTAAGTTCCTGAACGGTGCACGGAGGCTGAATCCTCCTCGCCCTCAGACCGTGCCATCTTGGGACTTGTCTATAGTCCTGCGGGCCCTAAGAGGGCCCCCCGTTTGAGTCGCTCAGCTCGGCCGATTTGCAGACTTTATCGCTTAAAACTGCCCTCCTCCTTGCCTTGGCGTCGGTTAAGCGAGTGGGCGACTTGCAAGCGCTGTCGTTCAGCGCCTCGTGTCTTGAGTTTGGGCCTAATGACTGTAGGGTCGTCCTAAAACCAAGACATGGTTATGTTCCTAAGGTGCTCTCAACTCCATTCAGAGCTCGGGTGATCGCCCTATTGGCGCTCCCCGTTACAGATGGTGAGCAGGGTCCAAACATGCTCTGCCCTGTGAGGGCTCTGAGAGTATACCTGGAGCGCTCTAGCCTGATTAGGCAGTCTGAGCAGATGTTCGTTTGCTTCGGAGACCGCCATAAAGGACTGCCGGCGACTTTCTCTCTGTATTGTTGATGCGATAGCCCTGGCTTACGCATCAGAAGGTTTGCAATGCCCTATAGGTGTGAGGGCCCACAAGAGGGATGGCCTCCTCCTGGGCGTGGTCAAGCGGAATATCTATTGGTGAGATCTGTGCGGCCGCCAGCTGGTCGTCGCCATCCACATTTGCCAGATTTTATAACTTAGACGTCCCTGCTTTGCAGGCGCTAGTTTTGCCTGTTTGATGTTCCACTCTTCCCCTTGGGCAAAGTGGTTATGTTAGAGCTCTCTGCTACCAGCTTGGGGCGCAATGTGCTCAGGTTTTTAGGGGTCCTTGTTAGTGCTCCAAGATTGGGCTCGCAGAGCAGGAGATCCTGTATCTGCTCAGAACGCGGCGTGATTGGACGCGTTCCCCATACACACAACGTGAAGTGAACGTTCGAAAGGGAACGCTCCGGTTACTGACGTAACCTCGGTTCCCTGAGATAAGGTCACTTATATTATGTCACTATAAGCTGCACGAATCGATGACTGTCGCTTCAGTCGAATGATCTGGTGAATGGTGCTGCGAGCCGACTTATATACAGGTCGGCTCTGCCCTTTCTGGCTGGCTAAAGTGCCATTGGTTTGTGCAGCTACACAAACGTGAACAAATCCGGCTTCAGTACAGAGTAAAACAGGAGTTTTCCCCATACACACAACGCTCGTTCCCTTATCTCAGGGAACCGAGGTTACATCAGTAACCGGAGCGTTTTACTGACATATGGCCTGACAACATCTCATCTGACCACAGTTCACTGTTGTTCTACTGAAGCTCCCACTTCACCACCTGGTCACTTGTACCGTTTCCACGCTCGTTTGACTAGCGCCTGGAGCTTAGGTGAAGTTGGACTGCGCGTTTCAAAGTCTCCCGTTTGATGTGGTCGTAAAGACATTCTGCGTCTAAATAAACTCAATTCTTGTCAAGAAAAAAAAAAGACAGAAGCAGCAGTTTTGAGTGGGGTTGCCATCAACCCAAGCTCCGCCCCTGCGTTAAATATTTTGAATGCGTTAGAAAATGAATCTCTGCTAAATTTGACCTATTGCGAGAACAGCTTCAGAAATCCATCAAGACAAGTTTGTCTTAAGCTGTCCTGTTCCAACAAGTAGATGTTCTCTAAACTAACACACTTGAATCAAAACTGGCAAAATATATTACTGGGTCAGTAAAATCAATTAATTACGTTGATTCAATTTTCTCCTCAGGCCAAAATAACAAAGTAGGTCAATCAGTGTTAAACTGAGGAAAGTAAATGACTTCTGCTTCTTCACAACACTAAATGCATTTTATGTGGGTTGTTGTTGAAATAAAATTTTACATTGTGGGCTGTCACGAGAAGGTCAAAAATATTCTTGTTGTCGCTTTATGCTTCTATTATGACTACCTAGGCATGATCTTCACAAGAAAGTATAGAGGCATTCCATCTTGTATGTATGTTCCACCTCTGATCTAAAACATCAGCCCACACAATCCGGGGTATATACAACTAGCCAAGGTAGCACAGAGGCAAACTATTTTTGGAACATGTTTATCTGTTTTATACACTTCAACAACAGCGGCACATTTCTTTCAGGGTAATTATGAGGTAAAGATTTATTTTTAGTAAAGATTACAGATTCTTGCAAGATGCCTTAAATATTACTGGATATATCAAAGACAACATTTACATGCTGCACGTGTAAAAGCACATTAATTATGTGAACAAATTTCATCTATATTTTGAGGGGCATGGGGGAGGGGGCAACATTTAGGATGAGTTTTTGTGAGAATAAAAACAGGTTAAAAACAGGTGACCTGAAGAATAACACAGAAAAAAGGAGAATCAGTTGTGTACCAATTGGAACCATGATGGCTAGAAAAAAGGTCAAGAATTCATTCCAATTATATGTCAGTTTCTGTCACTTTTTCACTTTCATGATTTGATCTCCATCTCACTACTTTGAAATGTTTTCTTTTGAGTCATGCTATGGTGTCACAAGAGTTCAGCAGTTTTTTTTTTTTTCTGTTGATGTTCCACCATTTCATGTGCCCAAACAGTGTAATGTTGACACTGATGCTATCCAACAGATTTACAAAATTCCCCTCACAATACATATAATTACATCAAATGTTTGCATTAGCACTATGCAAAGCAGAAAGCAAGACACTAATGAAACCCAAAAAGACTAAGAGTCAGAGATGAGCAGTTGGAAAAACGGTAATACAAACCTGATCTTCTTCACTTTAGGTTATTTACATTCTGATTTGTTCATAAAAATAGTAAACCCTCTTCACAAAAAGCAGAAAACCCCTTTAAGTAAGTAGAGTTGTTAAATATAATTTTTCTGCCAAGACATTTTTATTAAATATACTTATTATATATTTTCTGCCCTGATGCATGCATTTTTAAGTATAGTGTCATTTTTTTGTTGAAAGATAAATGGCACACGTGGATGTGGACCTAAAAAAAAAACATGTAAACAACAATCACAGAAATTAGGTCATAAACAGACAAAGTGTATCAGTAAAACTGATATCAAGTTAAGGTCCGGTACTTGATGAACAATGTGTCTTTTGGTCTTCATGGTATCAGAATCATTAAGCCTAAATCTGTCATTTGTGACGAATAATTAGCAGAATATTAAGGCTGCAAAATGTACAGAGGCACCAACTAAATCCAGACAAAAGCACTGGATCTGTTAGGGGGGGAAAACATGTGCACTAAAATTATTCCTTTTTTCCACCACAGCCCAACAGACGCTCCTTCTGTGTCAGGATATAAACGGCTCAAGGGAGGACGGACCAACTCCCCCAAGCTGGAGCCACAAACAAAGTTACCCAGGTGAGCAAGTCAGAAAGCGAATCACTCGGCAGTCGACGTTTCAAACCCGGCTGAGTAAATCTGAAGTGAATAAAGTAATGAAGATTAAAAAAGGTCCAGTTAGTGATTTGCCAAGTGGCTTGATTTTAACTATCAATCATCCTTTACACAACACTATTTTGACATTCACTACAAAACTGCTACTTGTTGCATTTCCCCCTAATTGTTTTCCTTGAAGAACTAAAAAGAAACTACTATTAGGTAGAAATTCAATAAATTAATTAATAAATAAAAACATACAAATATCCTGATACAAATATCTCTTGACTGCTCAAACTTAAAACAGGTGATAGTTATGTAAAAAGTAGTATATGTAGGTCAGAGCTGTCCAGTTACAGTTAGCTTTACAGAACAGAAGTAAAAGTGATTATGACACATTAAAAATGTGTCAAAATAAAAAAGCAAGTTCTTACTCCCTCTACTATGAATATTCAGCTGATATTTTCTGATTATGTATTCACGTCTTAGATAGATGCCCACATACATAAGAGTTTCAGAGCAAGCAAATCAAAGACTTGACATCAATATTCAGTAAAAACTATTTTATTCTTGTTGTCAATATGGATCTACAGGAACTCCATGAAGCAGTTATAAAAAAAATCTATGCACAATACACAAGAGCAAATAACAAATATACCATATGGTTATTATAAACATCTTTTGTACAAAAGCAAAATCAGTGTGTTGCAGGAAAAAGCTTCAAATAGTATAAAACCTCTTCTACGCAGTTAATAGTTTTTCCCACAGTAACAATTTTACAAGCAATCTTCATCATGACTCTAATGTAAACTCGTGCTGACACACCAGCATGAAAGAACATTATCTCAAAATCTACTCCTGTGCTGCAGAAAACAGGCCTGAGATGAAAAAATTTCCAGAGCAAAACAAATTCCAAAACTACAAGCCAGCCAAAATTTACAACCCAGCGGAAAAGTTCCTTGCATTCCAGAGTCCATGTTACATATATTACATATAATTAATTGCAGTAGCAATAACAATGTGAGATTTTAACTGCCCCAAGGGAATATTCACATATTAAGTTCATGTTGTTCAACAGTATTAATCAGCACTTTACCTTAAAATAACAAATCACAGGAAAGCAAGAACGTGTGATAAATCATCAGAGACGATATATCCAACCCTAAAATATAGGCTAATGGTATGCGTGTACTAAAAACATAAGTCTTTATCCTATAGCCAGTGTTAACAGAACTTTGAAAAATTGACGTATATTAAATTTTTCATGTTGACCGCTGTTTATCCATTACATCCGATGGGTCAGTTTAACTACTTTTTATCAGGGATTCTAATAAGGTGATATTGTGTCTCAAGGGAAGCTGCAGTAACTACTGCTGTCTCTGAATGTGAAAACTCAAGACACCGTCCTAGACTTTTAAAGAGGCTATACAGAGATTTTGCGAGTGTTTTCTGCAGTTAGATGAAAAACACGACGCCTGGCGTGCGTTTGGACCAGAATGTACGCGTTTAGTACATTAGAGATGCGGTGGGAAAAGTGAGAAGCATGTTCGCTTGGAAGAGGAAGAGAACATGCCAAAGAAACACAGACATGCCGTCTCCTCCTTATGCTTTCTGACAGATGCTTCTCAAAAACACAGCCTCACCAGATGGCAGAATAAACGACAATAGATGTCCATTTAGCCATCAATAAAAATAACTAACTTAAAAAAGACGAGTGAAACTTTTTATTAGAGTATGTCAGAATATGCAGAACTTTTGTTACGTTTAAATATTTCGTTTTTGCAGCATTGCCTGGACAAGGTATTAAAAATTACTAAAATGAATTCATAAATTAATGTGCGTTACCTACAGGCTACTAAACGGAAGCCTGAGGTTAACCTGTGAATAGAGCTGACATTTTGCAGGTTAATTTCAATTTACATTCAAGTGACCAGTTTATAGAGGTTTCGACACTTTTAAAGAACAATTTATAAAATTATACTCAGCCTTTGCTCAGAACGTAAAGTAATAACAGTTTAACACATGAAAAATAAACTAGACGTTAAGCAATAATAACAGCATATTCGTGGGCCTAAACAACAAGTGTTTTGTACGAACTGCTGTTTTTGTGTGCTGCTGTCTTCAGTGGATACTTAAACAGCAGAGAATGTGACATCAGATAATACGTACAGAACGCGCGGCTTTACAGAATGGTTTAGTAATGCGGAGTTGTGCGTAAGAATGAGATTAATTCGTCAGTCAATTATGCCTGTCACTGGCATCTTTAACAAGACTAAGCGCACCGGCGCTGTGAGGTTCTGCTTTCATCTCAGCTGCCTCCTGACACAATTCCGAAACGAAGTGGCTTTTAACAGCGCCTTAACAAGTCAAATAAATATTCATCAATACTCCTCTCAAGCACCATTAAATAAATCGATTTCTAAACACATTTATCGACATGTTATTTGCCAGATAACCGTTACTAAGGGCAGTTCGTCAGTTGCCTACTACCGGTTATATACACATGTGACAGACAAACCACGACGGGAACAAAGCAGGTAACGTTAGAATCAAAGTAAAAATGTTCTAATAAATTAACGACATTCCGGATGTGAAATAAAGCCAGTATTCAAGCACAATCTCTTCATGTATATATATAGCCTATATATATATATATGTATATAATCCCGGTCAAACAAACCATATGCACACTGGCCAGCAGGTCCACGGCACTGAAGAGATAACATATTAGGAAAAAGATTTCACTGAAAAAAAGAAAGAAAGAAAAAAACAATAAATAAACAAACTGTGTCCGTGTGAATAAGCGCTCCAGATATGTTCTGTATAGACTAGGTTATGGCCGTGGGTTTAAAACAGGGAAAGGCAACGAATGGACACTTTGCTTATGTCATGGAATAGCAAATTAGTTCTGAGTATTTTGAGGCTGGGCTAAAGAGACAACGTACGTAAGCCACTTTCTCTGGCCACGTGACCGTCTCGGTCTGGACGCGTCCATGTGAAAGGAGGAATTAAACACTGAATGCAACTATTTTTCTCGATCATAACGCTAATTTGATGCTTTAACTTACATCTTAAACATCGAATTCAAAACCACAGTCGTTAATTATTAGAGTACAATAGTGTGAAATTAAAATGTTGACAATAAGTGAAGAAATACAAAGTTAAGGCAAAATCTCACACTCCCCTGTCCTCTAAAAATGGTATGGTCGCCAGCTCAAATTCCGAGAATTTAGCTCTTCTGATTCTTAGAACTGGGGTTCTTAGAAGTGGTGATGCAAGAAGTTTCTAGGAAAGCACTACCAGGTGATTTTTTTTAACATTCTTTTCCTCTGGCGCGCTGTTGCCATTACTCACACATGTTTATTAAGACTGTTTTATTGGATTTTATGGTTAAATGTTCATCTCGGCTGATTTTTAGGTGTTTTTGCGGACAGTTTTTAGAGCAGGGTGTTTATGTAGTGGGTCGGTCTAGTGAAAATACTTTTGACAGTTTAGGTCGTCCTGCATGAACCACACTCCTCTGTCAGTCCTCACTGCGGGATCATCGGCTTGTAAATAGTATGTGCAGGCAGCAGAGGGGTGGAAATTTAGACGCGGTGCGCGTTTTTTCCCCCAGAACAAGACAGCTTTCAAAGTTGACTAAATAGCACATGGGGGATACGATTATAAACCAGGGGTTGTGCAGTGTATGCTCAAATACAAAGACAGAAGCGTTAACCGAGGCATTCTCTCAATGCATATTTTAAAACCCGGAGTTCGCTCAGAAATCGGAGTTTGCACTCTCGCTCGCTCTTTCTCTTGACGTTTTGGTTTTGTTGTCCTGTGCCAGAAGCCGTGTACATTGTGTTTTCAGTTGTGTATATGCATGTATAAAATCACATCCTATGCTTAGACATGGTTTCTGATTTGGTTGTACAGTTGTTGAGCGTGTGTTTGCCATTTGTTGTTTTATATATATATATATATATATCTTTTTTTTTTTTCTGTAACGCATCAGAGACCCATTAATGTCATCATTATTATTATTTATTTTGTCAGTGCATGAAGTGTTAAATTTGATAGTATTTCAGCAAAATCTGCCAGTGTTTGGCAGTAGAGATGCAACAGAAAAGTTTGTATAGTTCTACGGTTGCTGTCAATTGTAACGGCATGAGCGCAGCAGACCTGCACAAGTGTCTCTGTAGTCATGAGTTTTCTTTTAAATGTTTTTTTTTTTTTTTTTGCCAATGTGTTGGCAGTTTCATTTTAAAATAAGTTTTAATGATCTCGTCAGAAGCGCACCATATTCGAAAGATGTGTATGCGTATGGTTAAACGGACATAAAAAAAAAGAAGAAGAAAAAAGTGCCTCTTGGCATTGAGCGAGTGGCTCATAAATCTCCGTCCGCTGTTTGCGTGTTGTGGATCGGGCTCTATTCTTGGAGTGAGCACATTTAATGGCGTTCAGTTACATAGGGTAAAAGTGCTAAATACGATTTAACGCTTAATAAGATGGAAACTGAGAGCAAGAATGCGAGACAAATAAGAGCCCAACAGAGAGCGCGTGTGCTCTGCCATATCACACTTTTCTGTGTTCGTGAAGTTCACGTTGTTTATACGGTCATAGTGATTTAAGATGCTAAACGCCGGGGAAATTACATGACTTGATATGCGAGTTGCAGGTGTTGTCGGTGTCGTTTAGTGTTGCTGAACGTCAAAACGGTCTCTGGGTGACATCTCGTGGACGCAAAACTTCAGATTTCTTAAAGAATTGCCGAAATAAAACTAGTTCAGAACATGAAATCAGAGTGGGTAGAAAAGTTCTTCGGGTCAGTAGAAAACATTTTCAGAAAGGGATCTAAATAGCTAGTGTATTCAGGTGTTATGGTGGTTTCTCTTACTCTCTCTCTGTCTCTCTCTGTGTGTGTGTGTTTTATTTGTCCAGTGGTTAAAATCGCGATCCCTTTCCAGGTCATTTGCGTGTTTGCCGCCTCACACAAGAGCATTAAAAGAGTCATGGGCTGATTAAGCGGTTTTGGCACTCTGACAGCCGGGGATATTAATGTTATGTAGGCTCAAATGGAAACAGAATCTCCAATACTGCATGTTCAACATGTGAGAAATGTTCGCCTAACTATTTAAAGGCGTCCAGTGAAACTATATTTGTGTCAAGGCGCCAGATGTGACTGGGAAAACCATCTGAGGTGAATCATTCAGTAGACTATCTGAACTTACGAAAGCAGAAAATGTTTTCACAAAATTAATCTATTAAAAAAAATAAACGCTTATACAGTATTAACAATTCTTGGGTTGTGTTTGTTGACTATTTCACTTTGTCTGTTATTACACTCATTCCTCAATAGTGAAGTGTATCGGTCCAAAGTACTGCAATACACAGCCTAACGACATTTTCCCATGACTCATTCTAGTTTATTCTCCACACATAAAGACTTTAAAATCGCAGGGAAAGAAGCAATTTTCTTCAGAAGGCAAGAACTGTGTAAATGCACATTTCAGTGAACTTGGTACATATTAAGATAAATATACCTTTTTCTGTGACTAACCTCGCCAAGAGCCTAAAAGTTCATTATAACTGTGAACTTGAAGGATAATGCTGTCAGATAAAAGATAATTTTAGGTAGGAAGCAAAATGATTCTCAGACCTGACAGAACTACACGTGGATGTACTTCAGTTCTCTAACTAAATATTTGCATCGTTTGTCGCCACCTACCGGAGAGAGAGGGACATTTGGCGGCATCGTGGAGAACTAAACATGTAATTGATTTTCAGATTAAAGGGATAGTTCACCCATAAATGATAAGTCTGTCATCATTTACTCACCCTCGTGTTGTTTCAAACCCTAATGATTTTCTTTCTTCAGTGGAACATAAAAGGAGATGTCAGGCAGAATGACAGCCTCAGTCACCATTCACTTATATTGCATGCAAAAAAAAAAAGTTGCAATGAAAGTGAATGGCGACTTAGGCTGTCATTCTCCATAACGTCTCCTTTTGTGTTCCTCTGTCAAAGGAAAAGCAGAGGAGGTACACATTGACACATTTTTGATGCATAACAGGGTTAAAACCATATTCTTAATAGATGTGTTGACATACCTCCCTAAAAAAAGCAAAGAATAACAGCATTGCCTTTGTTTCTGAAGTTTTTAAACAGCTAATATGAGTTTCAAAGATTTGTGTGATGTAAGAATAATACCCAACTTTTCTGATTTTAGCGCATAGTTTAGTGAGCAGTGAGCACCAATTACATCATTCACGGTTCACTTTGTTTCCTAACAGATTTTGAAAAAATGGCTTGTGCAGCCGACAGCTGCATCCAATTCACGCGTCATGCAAGTGATGTTCTGCTCAACCTGAACCGACTGCGTAGCAGAGATATCTTTACAGATGTCACGATTCTGGTCAACAGACAACAGTTTCGAGCACACAAAACGGTCCTTATGGCATGCAGGTGCAATTAAAGATTATTTGGATTTGTTACATGCTTTCTTGTAGTGGAAATACGTTAATTTGAGACCCCAAAAGCTTACTAAAATCATAATTTCTCCACAGTGGGCTCTTCTACTCAATCTTTACTGATTCACACAAATGTAACCTGAACGCCATCAGTCTGGACCCGAAGGTCGACCCAGAGGGTTTTGCAATCCTTCTGGAGTTCATGTACACTTCACGTCTCACACTGAAGGAGAGCCTCATCATGGCCATCATGAACACAGCAATCTATTTACAGATGGACCACGTTGTTGACACCTGCCACAGATTCATAAAGTCCAGGTATTTTTTCTGTTCATAAACATTAATTTAATATGCTATACTTGAATGATAGAAAGCAGACATTCTTTAATTTGCTCCATATTTCCATGCAGTGACTCCTCCATCAAACTACCCAGAGAGGACTTTCTCGTCAGCCCCCTGCTTTTACCTCAAGACGTTCACAGTTACAGACCCCATGAGGTGATGGAAAACGTTCCTGGACGGTCAGCGACTTTCAGAGATGGGAGACCCTATGGTGTCTGCATGTTTAACGGGGTCAACGCTCCTAACAGCTCGTACCTTTACAGCCAGTTTCCAATGCAAGGTTTTCCCTTTCCTCTTTGCAAGCTGACAGACACCAAAAACACTTTCTCAGACTTCTCAAAGGGAGGCATCATCCATCACAAACACTGCTCGCCGGCTGATGGCAACAACCCCATCCTGGCCGACTTCACCCGCAGCACCACCGGCGGGAGCTCAACCGCTTGCCATGCCGGCTCATACTCCTCGAGAGAGCTGGGAAGAGATGAGGAAATGAAGCGGGAGACCTTGGAGGGAGTGGTCCATTCGATTGGGATGAGCTCCAGAAAGCACAGCTTCACCAGCCTGGCCCAGGAGCAGCAGAGGGAGACTGGGAAAGAGCAAAGTTCCCTGGCAGAGGAACATTTGAGCCACCAACACTACTCCATGGGCATATCCTCTAATGGACGCAAAACCTTGATGAGCAGCCCTCAGAGCCCCCTCAAATCAGACTGCCAGCCTAATTCCCCAACGGAATCGAGCAGCAGCAAAAATGCTGCCCTCACGCAGGCCTCTCAACCTCCAACCTCTCAAGGTACTCAAGACCCTAAAGCTCGTAACTGGAAGAAATACAAATTCATTGTTCTCAATCAGAGCTCCAAGGAGGAGGAGACCAGTCCTCGTGACCCTGGAATGCACTCCCCGCAGAGGCCGGGCTTGTCTGCTTTTCTTCACCATGTCGATTCTGAACATCCCGACTCGAAGGCGACAACAAAGATCAGCGAGCAAGGCGAGGACTTCACTGTGCCTCAGGCCAGTCGCCTCAACAACATCATCAACAGGTGAGTTTTTCCAAAGGAAATCTGACTCTCTTAAACAGCCAAAAAGGTGTCATCCTCTGTGTACAGAAACCGATTAGAAGATCGTTTCCCAATGCAATAAAGTTCAGAACTGCAGGTTTGTGAGTATTTTGTGGAACGGTTCTCCACCCACCACCTCCACAAAGCCAGATTGAATTTTTCTTCATCCATTCCAATCCTCTTAAAGCACACAGAGGATTTACCTCCTAGCAGAAATGTGTGAAATTCATTCAATATCCTATAAACATTTGAGTGAATTCCTCTGCAGACCTAAAATGTGCCGTTTTCCTCAGCAGAACTCTAGAGGGATCGCAGAGGAACAGCGACAGCCACTCTTCGCGCTATACAAGCCATTTAAAATGCTCGTCCTGTGGCTCCCAGTCTCCACAGCACTCTGACGTCTGTCCCAACACATCCGCCTCGCGTCTGGCCGAGGAAATGTCTGAGATGCACTCGGAGTACTCTGATTCCAGCTGTGGTGAGATACACTTCTAAATAGTTTCCTAAAAACCTGTTTGCGTCTTCCAAAACCAACCTAAAACCATTTCTCCTTTGCCTCACAGAAAATGGAACATACTTTTGTAATGAATGTGACTCCAAGTTTGCAGAGGAGGAAGCCTTGAAACGCCACACGCTTCAGGTCCACAGCGACAAGCCATACAAATGTGACCGTTGCCAAGCAGCATTCCGCTACAAGGGAAACCTTGCCAGTCACAAAACCGTTCACACCGGTAAAAAATAAACAGCCGCTGCTACAAATGTCATTTTGGCTGCAATGTTTTGCTTAACCTCCTTTCATTTGTGCTGCAGGAGAGAAACCATATAGATGCAATATCTGCGGAGCTCAGTTCAACAGACCAGCTAACCTCAAAACCCACACACGAATTCACTCCGGAGAAAAGCCATACAAGTGTGAGACCTGCGGCGCTAGATTTGTGCAGGTGAGTGCGTTGAGTTACCGTCAATTGTGCAGCTATAGAAAAAGATATTTGGAAGACCAACATGATCTCTTTGCACAGGTTGCTCACCTTCGGGCTCACGTCCTGATTCATACCGGAGAGAAGCCATATCCATGCGAGATCTGTGGCACTCGTTTCCGCCATTTGCAGACACTGAAAAGTCACCTGCGAATACACACGGGAGAAAAGCCCTATCATGTAAGCATATATAGAGCGATAGCAACTATATCTATAAAGTGCAAAAGCGTTCATCTTCACCCTAACTTAACACTGTTCTCGCATTTGCTTTTCAGTGTGAGAAATGCAACTTGCATTTTCGCCACAAGAGTCAGCTGCGGTTACACCTGCGGCAGAAGCACGGCGCAATCACCAACACCAAGATCCAATATCGCATGTCCTCAACAGACCTGCCGACCGACTTGACGAAGGCATGCTGAGCAGGCACTTAGTGGCGGACCTGACCATGGCATTATATGACCTGACTTGTACAATCATTCAAAATTTTAGTGCCACACTGTGTTATTCGGACAAACAAACAAAACTGGCAAGAAATGCCAGTCTAAACGGGTTTCCTCTACATTTGAATATAGAACCACAATATGGTCTCTTGTAGTCACTTTATTGTTTATATTTACATACATATATTAATGTTGGGAGTGTTTTTACGTTTTGAGTTATATATATATATATATATATATATGTATATATGTAGGGATTTTGATTGAAGTTGGAATATTTTAAGTCAAACACATTTCCAGCAAAGCAAAGAATTGTGTGTCTATAGATTTTTATATATATATACAGTATATATAAATGTACAGGTTACACTATGTTGGAACGACCTCTTGTAAGAGGAACTCCTAACTGTGGCTATAGCATTGAATATCTTTCTTGGTTTTTGTCGTGTACTTTTGAGAACAATGGCTGCTCTCTCAAATGGAAAACATGCATGAGGTGGGTTGCCACTGATAAACTTTCACTATGTAGGCAACTGCATAAATATTGTGACAAATTGTAATTACTTTACATCAAGATTGCTCTCTGCTGGCAGAGCCGATCTAGAATTACATGGTAACATATGCATTCAAAAGTAATAATGATAATAAGAAAAGAAAAGGTACTGCTATGTTATGACCAAGGAGATATTTTGCTTCAGATGTATTTGTATAGAAACGTGACTCATTTCATTTATTTTGGCAAGTAAAGGTTTACAGTTTTGTCGTTGTTCTAGAAGCTACGTAAAAAGGTTATACTATTGTCTTTCTTTTCTTTTTGTCTGTGTATACACTGTGTACTCAAGGTGCCTTTCTCAATGGTGTCTGAATTTCTTATCATTCAGTCCAGCTCTACTAAGGTACAACTGAAGGGCAACGCGTCCTTTTTTCCCTTTTTGAGCGTGAAAACATGTGAGAATGTTTTTGTGACAGAAGAACGGCGTGAGTGTGTGTGTGCATGTGTGCTTTATAAATGCTTTTCACACACTTCAACAAAAAAAATGCAACTCATTGCGTGAGCTATACATCTTCAGGACTTGTTTTGGGATTGGGCTTTTTTAAAATAATTTTTAAAAAACGCATTAAGCTTACTGTAAAATATAGATGTATGAATGTAAAATAAAAGTATTGGATTTCTATGTCTAACATTTGTGTAAAGCCTCTATTCTAAACTAAGCAAAAAAAAGAAACATCCTCTCGCACTGAACTGCTTTATTTCCAGCAGATTTCTTGTGTAAATGTTTTTAAACAACTGATGCAAACGGAACATATTTCACAGGCATTTGATGAATAGAAATGGAATAATGCATTCCTGAACAAAGGTCGCAGTAAGTATCTTAAAGCCTCTATTCTAAACTAAGCAAAAAAACGAAACATCCTCTCGCACTAAACTGCTTTATTTCCAGCAGATTTCTTGTGTAAATGTTTTTAAACAACTGATGCAAACGGAACATATTTCATAGGCATTTGATGAATAGAAATGGAATAATGCATTCCTGAACAAAGGTCGCAGTAAGTATCTTGTGTGGCCACCAGCCTCTAAGTATTACAGTGCATCTCATCCTCATGGACCGAACCAGATTTGCCAGTTCTTGCTGCGAGATGTTTCCTCACTCTTCCACCAACACAAGTTCTGGGACATGTGTGGGGAGACACATGGTTACACCTGGTTTGGCACTGCAAGGACGATCGACTGTCCTTTCTTGTCTCCCTGCAGCACTGTCTTAGGCATCTTCCATTGTGGACATTGTTCTAGCCACATCTGCAGTTCTCATGCCTTCCTGCAGCAGGCAGGACTATGGCATGTTCACGCAGGTGAACACATTAAGCTTAGCGTTATGGGAAGGCTTGCATGTTACAACAATAGCAGAATTGTTAGAGAGTCAAGATAAAAAGCAGGGAACCAAATCACCACAAGCTTGGGGTAGTGAAAAGCAACGCTGGAAGCTCCATACGTTTGTTGTATCAATTCCTTAAACAGGACTAGAGTAACATGAAGAATTAATGAACCACAGTAGGAGTTTAGAACTGCAGAACAGTTCAGCTATAGAGTTTGAGACTTGCTTTATTTTATACAGGTACTACTAATTCAGTCAACAGGTAACAAACCGCACCATCTAAAACACAACCAGATTTATACCACTTCAACATGCTGATCTATAAACCATTGGCCAAAATGATACTGACTGCACAACTAATGCTCAGACCTATGGTGCACACATTATAGTACTATACCGTACATACTCTATAGTATTATACAGACTGAAGACATCATCCGTCTAAAACTTTAATCAGTTCAACAAGGCCATATAGTGCAAGCCTGCAACATAGAAGCCATTCTTAGGGGGGGATCAGAAAACTGCATTACAAACCATAAAAGTATCAGATCCTGTTGTGTTACTCTGGAATAGGCCCAACATTCTTTTGCTTCCTTCTTCAAAAACAATATAACACAAAAATGCAACAATATAGCTCAGAATGCAACACAGACAGACATTTTTTTTTTCTACTGTGGAGGGGAATTTCCATGGACTTCTATTGGTTTTATACTGAGCCAGCATTGTCTATCTGCTAAACCAAACCTCTCCGCATTCTCAAACTTTTTTTGTGAAAGTTTTCTATGTGGGGACAGTAGTGTGCTCCTGACAATACAGGCAAAACCTGATTCACACACACACACATACATTTACTTAGCTATATAAAATGGTCCATTCAATAAACTATTGTTTTCATATATACTGGGTATAACCTAATCCTAACTGAAACCTTCTACGTGGTTTCAATTTTATTTTTACAAATGAGGACACCCCCAAATGTTTTTTTTTCCCCCAGTTTGTGTCACATCTATGTATACATTTGTCCCTAAAATATGCTGTACACAAACAGCTGTTTGTTTCACTATGCTAGTCAGGGCTTTTAAACTAGTAAATTCTGACTCACTAGTTGGTGTTCAACAGTTTCACTTTTTCAGAAAGGATCATTTTGAATGGTGAGGACCTCACAATAGTCAAACTTACACATTTTTACACACAGAAGGGAGGCAATGCAAGTAAATATATACACACACTTTAATTTACAACTTACTATTAGCTGAAGTTTTTAAAACCCACACTTTCACCTGCAATGTTTATTCACAGGTGAAAGCACAACCATGTAGGCATTAACACAAAAGCTCAGGCTGCTGCTTCAATCTCAAAATCATAAACAAGAGTATCATTGAGGTCCTCAGGGCCAAGTATCCAATGATTTTTCCTCCGAGTAGAAATCTAAAAGCAAGAGAAAAACATGGATCACTGAAGAAAAACAAGTAGCAAAGCCATTTAGAAAACACTACCTTTTCTTCTAACAGCTCGTTGAGTAAGGAGTTTAGAGCAGAACCCTTAGCAATGCGATCATCCATCTAAATGACAAGCATCCATCAAGACAAGCTACCTAAAGCTCACATTTCGCCAAACATTAAATAATTGACAAACATCCCAAAGTCCATCTCTAAACTTACTTTGCTGTGGTGCAGCTCAGAGCAACAATCCTCCATGTTTTATACTGAGCCAGCATTGTCTATCTGCTAAACCAAACCTCTCCGCATTCTCAAACTTTTTTTGTGAAAGTTTTCTATGTGGGGACAGTAGTGTGCTCCTGACAATACAGGCAAAACCTGATTCACACACACATACATTTACTTAGCTATATAAAATGGTCCATTCAATAAACTATTGTTTTCATATATACTGGGTATAACCTAATCCTAACTGAAACCTTCTACGTGGTTTCAATTTTATTTTTACAAATGAGGACACCCCCAAATGTTTTTTTTTCCCCCAGTTTGTGTCACATCTATGTATACATTTGTCCCTAAAATATGCTGTACACAAACAGCTGTTTGTTTCACTATGCTAGTCAGGGCTTTTAAACTAGTAAATTCTGACTCACTAGTTGGTGTTCAACAGTTTGTTTCACTTTGAAAGGATCATTTTGAATGGTGAGGACCTCACAATAGTCAAACTTACACATTTTTACACACAGAAGGGAGGCAATGCAAGTAAATATATACACACTTTAATTTACAACTTACTATTAGCTGATGAAGTTTTTAAAAACCACACTTTCACCTGCAATGTTTATTCACAGGTGAAAGCACAACCATGTAGGCATTAACACAAAAGCTCAGGCTGCTGCTTCAATCTCAAAATCATAAACAAGAGTATCATTGAGGTCCTCAGGGCCAAGTATCCAATGATTTTTCCTCTTAGTAGAAATCTAAAAGCAAGAGAAAAACATGGATCACTGAAGAAAAACAAGTAGCAAAGCCATTTAGAAAACACTACCTTTTCTTCTAACAGCTCGTTGAGTAAGGAGTTTAGAGCAGAACCCTTAGCAATGCGATCATCCATCTAAATGACAAGCATCCATCAAGACAAGCTACCTAAAGCTCACATTTCGCCAAACATTAAATAATTGACAAACATCCCAAAGTCCATCTCTAAACTTACTTTGCTGTGGTGCAGCTCAGAGCAACAATCCTCCATATCAAAGCTCTCTTTCATGCATTGCTCCTGAAAACAGACAAGAATCATTGGAACCTGTCTGGTGTTCTTGCAGGGCCGTCCTTAGGGGTGCAACTGGTGCAGACGCACGGAGCCCCGCGCTTGAGGGGTCCCGTGGCAAACGGACCGAGAGGGGCCCCGCTCCCTACCTCACAACGGGCCCCGCATCAGCTAAGGATGGCCCTGTTTCAGTGTATATGAATCAATACACCCCCCAATTCATGATTTAAGTAAAGACATCCATAGTGAGTTTCAGATGCCACAGGGTAGTAATTGAAAAACTTTTGTGATAAACAAGCAGACAAACAAAACCGAGAAAACTGATCGTAATAAAACATACTCTGCTGTTCCACATGACGGTTAAAACGGGCTGTCATCGAATTTTGAAAGAACCAACTCTGTTATGAGCAGGGGGAAAAAAATAACACCTACCATTCTCATTAAACCCCGTATCCGTTTAATTTAAACGTAGCCTGCGAGAGTTTCAGTAAAACCGCGAATGGAAACGGAACAAGCAGCTGACAGCAATTTGTCTTAATTTAGTGGTTCACTCGTTTCAAGCAAATTGACAGATTTCAAATTCATTGGTGGGCTAATTAGCAAATCCATCGGCACTCTGTTAAAGGGCGCTCATAACATTAACACGCGAAAATCGTCTAAATTTGAGACCGTTAAAATAAACCAATATTGATATTAAAATTAGGGATTATTATTTCTACATACAATAAAACAAACTTTTAAATGAAACGACGCTCTGCTACAGCCAAATGTTGTAATACATTAGTTTTAGCTTGTCAGATACAGTACACAATGCTCAGTTTTAGGTAGAAACTAGTTAATAGCAAGAGAAGTCATGCAAATTTAGAAAATTCTTATCTTATTCACTGGCCCCCAGGAGTACTTTTAGGCACTCCTTTTAAAACACTGTAGGCCTAAATAGGTAGCGCATAGTGATAAAGATGAATGAATAAATTATTTGAATACATTTTAAAAAGATCTCATATGATGTTTCATTTTTTAAGGCACAATGCAAAATGGCTTAGCTCCTCATAATTTAAAATAGGTACAGAACTCCACTACATTGTACATAGCAAAAATAAACATTAAATACAAAAACTTAAGTGTCCCACCCATATTTAACTACACTCTAAAAAAATGCTGGGTTGTTTCAACCCAATGTTGGGTCAAATATGGACTAACCCAACTGTTGGGTTAAAAAGTTAATTTAAAAATGTAACCAAAATTTAACCCAACAGTTGGGTTAGTCCATATTTGACCCAACATTGAGCCTCTAAGTATTACAGTGCATCGCATCCTCATGGACCGAACCAGATTTGCCAGTTCTTGCTGCGAGATGTTTCCTCACTCTTCCACCAACACAAGTTCTGGGACATGTGTGGGGAGACACATGGTTACACCTGGTTTGGCACTGCAAGGACGATCGACTGTCCTTTCTTGTCTCCCTGCAGCACTGTCTTAGGCATCTTCCATTGTGGACATTGTTCTAGCCACATCTGCAGTTCTCATGCCTTCCTGCAGCAGGCAGGACTATGGCATGTTCACGCAGGTGAACACATTAAGCTTAGCGTTATGGGAAGGCTTGCATGTTACAACAATAGCAGAATTGTTAGAGAGTCAAGATAAAAAGCAGGGAACCAAATCACCACAAGCTTGGGGTAGTGAAAAGCAACGCTGGAAGCTCCATACGTTTGTTGTATCAATTCCTTAAACAGGACTAGAGTAACATGAAGAATTAATGAACCACAGTAGGAGTTTAGAACTGCAGAACAGTTCAGCTATAGAGTTTGAGACTTGCTTTATTTTATACAGGTACTACTAATTCAGTCAACAGGTAACAAACCGCACCATCTAAAACACAACCAGATTTATACCACTTCAACATGCTGATCTATAAACCATTGGCCAAAATGATACTGACTGCACAACTAATGCTCAGACCTATGGTGCACACATTATAGTATTATACAGACATCATCCGTCTAAAACTTTAATCAGTTCAACAAGGCCATATAGTGCAAGCCTGCAACATAGAAGCCATTCTTAGGGGGGGGATCAGAGAACTGCATTACAAACCATAAAAGTATCAGATCCTGTTGTGTTACTCTGGAATAGGCCCAACATTCTTTTGCTTCCTTCTTCAAAAACAATATAACACAAAAATGCAACAATATAGCTCAGAATGCAACACAGACAGACATTTTTTTTTTCTACTGTGGAGGGGAATTTCCATGGACTTCTATTGGTTTTATACTGAGCCAGCATTGTCTATCTGCTAAACCAAACCTCTCCGCATTCTCAAACTTTTTTTGTGAAAGTTTTCTATGTGGGGACAGTAGTGTGCTCCTGACAATACAGGCAAAACCTGATTCACACACACATACATTTACTTAGCTATATAAAATGGTCCATTCAATAAACTATTGTTTTCATATATACTGGGTATAACCTAATCCTAACTGAAACCTTCTACGTGGTTTCAATTTTATTTTTACAAATGAGGACACCCCCAAATGTTTTTTTTTCCCCCAGTTTGTGTCACATCTATGTATACATTTGTCCCTAAAATATGCTGTACACAAACAGCTGTTTGTTTCACTATGCTAGTCAGGGCTTTTAAACTAGTAAATTCTGACTCACTAGTTGGTGTTCAACAGTTTCACTTTTTCAGAAAGGATCATTTTGAATGGTGAGGACCTCACAATAGTCAAACTTACACATTTTTACACACAGAAGGGAGGCAATGCAAGTAAATATATACACACACTTTAATTTACAACTTACTATTAGCTGAAGTTTTTAAAACCCACACTTTCACCTGCAATGTTTATTCACAGGTGAAAGCACAACCATGTAGGCATTAACACAAAAGCTCAGGCTGCTGCTTCAATCTCAAAATCATAAACAAGAGTATCATTGAGGTCCTCAGGGCCAAGTATCCAATGATTTTTCCTCTTAGTAGAAATCTAAAAGCAAGAGAAAAACATGGATCACTGAAGAAAAACAAGTAGCAAAGCCATTTAGAAAACACTACCTTTTCTTCTAACAGCTCGTTGAGTAAGGAGTTTAGAGCAGAACCCTTAGCAATGCGATCATCCATCTAAATGACAAGCATCCATCAAGACAAGCTACCTAAAGCTCACATTTCGCCAAACATTAAATAATTGACAAACATCCCAAAGTCCATCTCTAAACTTACTTTGCTGTGGTGCAGCTCAGAGCAACAATCCTCCATATCAAAGCTCTCTTTCATGCATTGCTCCTGAAAACAGACAAGAATCATTGGAACCTGTCTGGTGTTCTTGCAGGGCCGTCCTTAGGGGTGCAACTGGTGCAGACGCACGGAGCCCCGCGCTTGAGGGGTCCCGTGGCAAACGGACCGAGAGGGGCCCCGCTCCCTACCTCACAACGGGCCCCGCATCAGCTAAGGATGGCCCTGTTTCAGTGTATATGAATCAATACACCCCCCAATTCATGATTTAAGTAAAGACATCCATAGTGAGTTTCAGATGCCACAGGGTAGTAATTGAAAAACTTTTGTGATAAACAAGCAGACAAACAAAACCGAGAAAACTGATCGTAATAAAACATACTCTGCTGTTCCACATGACGGTTAAAACGGGCTGTCATCGAATTTTGAAAGAACCAACTCTGTTATGAGCAGGGGGAAAAAAATAACACCTACCATTCTCATTAAACCCCGTATCCGTTTAATTTAAACGTAGCCTGCGAGAGTTTCAGTAAAACCGCGAATGGAAACGGAACAAGCAGCTGACAGCAATTTGTCTTAATTTAGTGGTTCACTCGTTTCAAGCAAATTGACAGATTTCAAATTCATTGGTGGGCTAATTAGCAAATCCATCGGCACTCTGTTAAAGGGCGCTCATAACATTAACACGCGAAAATCGTCTAAATTTGAGACCGTTAAAATAAACCAATATTGATATTAAAATTAGGGATTATTATTTCTACATA